TAATTCTTCAGGAGGCTGCAGTTATTGAAAAAAAGGAATAACGCTGGAACTTAATAATGCTGGAAATCTAATTTTTAAAGGTTAACAGGCCCTACAAATAAGAGGCCAGCTTCTCAGAAAGAGGTGGATTATTTCTCCTCTAGTCATCACTGATCTACAACATTGAAACCCACATTTTATATCATAATTTTTATGTAAATTCCTGGGGGTGGTTTCTGTTCAGGTGTTGGTTTCCTTAGGCTGCTGACAAAGAGTGACACAACAAGATTCTAACAAAGAAGGAGTCTACTGCTCTTCTGGTCTGTATGCTTCATTACAGACCAGAAACTGCTAAGAGCTTCAAATCATCCTTCTCTATCATAGCCACAGTATTTTCATTTTGAAAAGTATATTCTACCTATCTTGTGAAAAATGTTCTCAGGGAAAGGCAGTGTACCTAGTCAGAAATGAATTCTGACTAATTAAATATCCTGTCTACAAAGATAGATTTCTAAGTCCATAGGCAAGCCATCTTTCCCCTCGCAATGTGACACATATTAATAGTGCCACACTGAATCAAAGATGGTGAATGTCTGCTTTCCAAATAGAGTCTTACCTTCCTTTGGGACTTCATTAAAGCTTGAGGAATAGCACAAGACAAAACAACCCTTCTGGTTTGTGTCAGTCAGCCCAGAGCCAATGCTTGGCTTTTAGCAGGTGAATATAGTATCCACACTGTGGGTATATTCAGGGACAGAGTGGAAGTAGTCAGTAAAAACAGGGAGATTAAGTTGCCATTATGCTTTCTCTCAGTGCCATGACGGTACTTTGCATATCTCTATCTTCTCTAAGTAAAAGTTCATTACAGGGCTATTACAAGTTATGAGTCTCTTTTTAAAAATACACCAAACAAAAGATTTTGTAAATTTAATATTTGAAGCTAGAATAAGTACATATCTAAGGGGTCAGATGGTATCAGAAATGCTTCTAGTGTCACTCATTTGATTATATAATTTAAAACCTCTCTTATATGAGCATGCTTAGGCTTATTAAGTTAGATATCTTATGTGCACAATAACCCACTATATATGGAATTTTATTCTATGGTACATAAAAGATGCAGAAAAAACTTGTAAGTTAGCAATTTATTTCTTGACTCTGACTTCACAGCCCCTGATAAATTAATTGAGGCATGTAACTGGCTGATTTATGTCTGATGTCACAATTGCAATGAGGTGATCCAATTGTCTTGAAATTATTCTATACACTTAAAAACACTAATTTCCCTTTTGCTTGCAAGTAGCTAAAAAAAATCTAACAAAAAATGCAGAGAGGCAGAATATACACAACACTGATACAAAGACATTTTTAAAAGTTAAAATCTCTGGATTTTTGTTCAAAAACACATAAAAAGGAAACAGAAAACAGGTAGTGTGCTTGCACACATATGGATAGGCTTAGATAACACTGCAAACCATTGAGCATTTCTGTTTCAAGTGCTATAATCAGGATCCCTTGAGGCTTTTATCTCCCAATGTCCAGCCTTCTTCATTTCTATATCTCTGTTACAGGCTGAAATAGTTTCATTTTTTTTATTTCTTGTTCTCAAGCTTTCTTTTAAATGATCTTCTAGGATTGTTCTCAACTCTTTGAAAACAACATGGCTACAGTTACTACTTTATGGTTGGAAAACCCTATTACTGGTATGTACCCCTAACAAGTTATCCTTCAAGCAACTTCCTCTTTGGCTTGCTGTAGAGCCCAGCGGGTGCTGACAGATGTGCAGCTTCCTGCCCTAACCCATGGTGCTTCACAAAGTGCCATGAGTTAGAGTGACCCTCCAGACCCAACAGATGTTCACTGTTGGGTAGGGAGGGTGGGGGATTGAGCTTCAATTTGGAGCTGAGGAGCTGCAGACATGCAGGTTCTCTTCCCTAGGCTTGCCTCCTCCCTCCCAGCTCCAGTGCTGTCTGCACAATGGGAAGGGGGAGAAGGTAAGGGAGGGAGCTTAGGATGGACTTTGTCTTGCCTACACTGGAGTGGAGGGGCTCCAACCCACTCAGCCCCTCTCTAGCACAGGCTAGGAAAAGCTCAGCCCAGGCACCCTTCTCTCCTCTCCCATTGTGCAGACAGCACTGGGAGTGGGGCTGGGCTGCATCAGCCCAGCTGCCCAATCAGACACAAGTTAATGAAGGTGCTCAACTTTGGAGCACCTTCATTTGAACCCTCAAATAATGAGGGTTAATTTGTCATGCAATCAGGGACTTTTAATTTGCAGCCAGGCAGTTCTGTTAGGGTATGGCTATAGAGTGCTTTCAGGGGGCCAATCGTGCAACAAATATTACCTTCTGTCTGTGCATTATGGTGAAATATAGCAATTATGCAGCACTGCCCACTGTCTCACTGAAGGTCTGGCTTTCTGCCAGAGACTGAAGGAGTGCACATATATTTGCAAGTTTGATTTCTCAAGCAGCCATACTGATTAAGATACAAGGAAAAGTGAATTTGGTCATCTAAGAGACTTAGTGAATTTTGTGTAAAGAACAGTTTATTACCTGAATGACACATCCATTGTGGGTAAGAAGTGAGGTTCACTGGCTTGCAGCCTGCTTGGCACTAGCTTTACCAATCTATTTTTAATAGCATCACTGCATCACAGTGATAGTCAATTTGCATGAATATCAATTTTTATTAATTTAAACCACACAGAGAGAAAGTGCTAGAGAGAACAGTATCTAATTAAGAATGGGGAACCCGCACAAAACTAAGACTTCCTATAAAGTTCTGGAAGTATCATTATATGGTATATCTCTGTGTAAAAAAGCAGCATAGATTCATAAAAAACAGAAAATCTCTTTTTTTCCCCACAGAAGAGAGATCTTCATGTTCCTACAATACTGTGCATTTCAATTTTTAAAGGTTGGGACACCATTCCTTTAACCACTGCTCTTTGAAAACTCCTTCCAAGTGCCATCAAGGAGTCACAGAACCCAAAAGAATCACAGATGAATTTCTTTCCTCAGCTGTGTGCTGAGCTGAAGCACAGGATGATGGCTGGGGAGAACAATTTATGTACCGCCCTCTCCTAAAACCATAATGGATAATTTGCACATAATTTTACAGGGGATTAAAAATTACATGTATGTACTGCATATGGCAATTCGTAGATGTGAAATCATAAAAAATAGCATCAAGTATTATTAATATGGGAAATGTGTGAACTTATACAAGAAAGAAGAAAGAAATGGTTCCCAACTTCAGCCCTAGCTGTGGAAGCAAACCCAGTTCCTGTCCCAGATTCAGTGTTCATTCCTAACTCTCAACAGACCTGTTGGCTAAACTTTGCTAAGCCTTTCCTAGTGTTCTCAGCAGAAGTTTGGCAACATAAACTCATCCACCTGCTTATTTTAATGTTTACTGAATTCTGGGACTTCCCAGAAGTCAAGGGGATAGGGAAACACAATGCATTTTAAAGGTAAACAGGATCTAAGCAACCCCTAGACAATAAAGAATAGAGAAAAGTCAACCTAGATATAGAACTGAAGCCTGAAACTGGCCCAATGTTCCTACATGCACTGGGAAGGCTTTGCACTGTTCTGCTGGCATTAAATTGCCCTAAGAGAAGCTTTGCTGCCCATAGGCAATTGCACTATAGAAGAATGTTCCACAATGACTTTCTGAGCAGAATCACAGGGAGATCCAAGATGTTGTAAGGGAGGGTGAGAAAGCAGTGACTAGCCCTGCAGGGCTAGCTGCACCCTCACTCCCAATTCCCCCCCATACTGGGACAGGCAGACCATGCTTCAAGAGCAGGCCTGGGGCTGGGGGAGTTCCAGAGCCACTCCTGCCCTGCTCCAGTTGTGCTGTGCTGGGAGCTGGGCTCAGCAGAGGACAGCAGCAGTGGCAGATGGGTTCCTGTTCTTGGACTGGTAGGGAGGAGAAACCGGTATGCTGATTCCTTTGCTGCTGTCCCTGGTGGGAGAGCAGCTCTGGAGCATTCCCTGCCCCTGAGGCAGCCAGGGACAGTGGCAATAGTGGGCAGGGGAAGGGGGGAACGGGAGGGGAGTGTTACTGAGTATGGAAGGGAAGGGACGTGAAGGGGTCCTAAGGGATGGGGGCTCTTACCTGGTTCAGGACTTTAAAAACAAACCTTTGGGTGAGGAGTGGGAGCTGGGAGCCCAGACACCTGTGTTCTCTCCAGCTCAGAGTGGGGTGTGGGCTGCAAGATTGGAGCAGGAGGAGCTCTGGCAAGGGGCTCTCTGTCTGGACAGACTGTCCTTCACTAGTGGACTGTATTATTGTTATTTGCACTGAGATGAACACCTTCTCTTACCCAGCAGTCTTCATATACTTAGAGGAATAATCACAAAAGGTGAGTTTGCCTCCTAACTTTCAGTATTATGGTGTCAGTATAACTGAAATTATGTATAAAACTATAAAGCATTAAAGTCAATCCATCTTGAGGTCCTTCAGCAATCTAATTTAGAGCTTCTCTTTTGCAAGTAAAAGTTTTACAATGTACTGATTTTCTGCAGTCACATGCTTATGAGGTCCTCAGTTAAACAAGAGGGTAGATTTTAGTTACAATGCATTAAATACAGTTGTTCTTAAACATAGGTCATTTCAAGCAATCATAGCAGCAACTATTTTTAAATGTAAAAGAGAGAATTTAGTAAGTTACAAAGTGAAAGATCACTAACCTGGCATTTCAGGATCTAAGCAAATTGTAGTTTGATATATCTTTTGATACATAAGTTGTGTGAATATAAGCAAAAAAGGACAAAATCACAAAAGGAATCATTCATAAATATATTCTGATGGAACAGTTAGACATGGATATCATGTCAGGAGTAGCCAAGAAATCATTAATATATGAATTATTGTGTTAAAATTAAAATGCAGTAATTTTAAAATGCAGAATACAGCCTTACATCACTGTGCTGAAATAGGGTGAAACACCAATAGTACATGAACAATATTTAAACCTAAAGGAACCTACAGGTATCTTTAAACACACTTACATCACTTTCATGGCCTTCTCGCAGATTGTATGTGAGATCATGCTGAATACCTTCTACAAATTTGGGAGCATATTCTGGATAAAAGTCAAGCACTTCGAAGAGTCCTTTAAGGATAATGCATTGGAGGTCACAGTAGGTTAGAGCTTTAACATCTGCATTTGTTTTAATGACTTGGTCCTTAATTGAAAGGTTTGCTCCAATTAAATCTCCTTTACCTAAAAGAGAATAGGCAAGTTATCTCAAAAGCATAAATATTTGACTCTTCTGCTGGAACATAACAGAACAAATCTGTTTGACTTAATTGCTAAACCTTCAGACCTGCTGCTATTATGGTATAATTTGATTACCGACATTTTAAAGATCTGGTACTTAAAAGCTTTCTCAATTTTCGCAGGTGCAATGTTGTATTGACAATTAACTGCACCCACAATTAGTTGCAGGTACAAATGCTAATTGCCAGATGTGCAACTACCTGATTTAAGGAGCTATCAGATAATTAAATGTATAAATATTAGCTTTTTGCACTAACAGTCAATGGCAGGGCACTTTTATGTCTGTAAAAAAAATGGACATCTTATTCCCGGCTTTCTGGGTCAGAAAAGGTAGAAAGTTAACAGAAGTATTTATAGTATAAAAGATGTATATAAGGCAGGACACTTCACTTAAAGGGGAGAGTCATGTGAATTTTTTTTTTCTTAGATTTTGTGTAGCCAACCACTTGGAACATGTGGTGTCATTGTGTATGTTACAAGTAAAGTGTTATAAGGGAAAGTAATTCTTACGTTATTATATGACTTCAAGGCTTGGCATATTTGTCATTGAATGCACATATTCAATGGTATGACTGATTCTGAGAGGATGGAAATGTTATGGTGAAATGCTCAAATATATGCACATACAAATAATAAAGGCAGATTTTTTAGTTTAAATTGTAGGTGGGGGCAGTAATTTAAAATGTATACAACAGTAAAAAGCTTGAATTTGAAAAAAGTGGGGAGGAGGCATAAGGAAGAATAATACAAAATTAAAAGTTGTTTAAATAAGGTCAGATTTACTCTCTGCTTGCTGCTTCACCTATTTGGTTAACATGGGGCTGTTATTACATTCTGATCTTACAAGCACATGTGGAACTCAGCAGGGCCTGATCTTCATTTACACTGCTCTGACAATGTAAAAGTACCTTGTAAATACATTTTAGGTTCCCTTACAATATTTTAATAAAATATCCATAGAGTAAATAAAAATCAGGTCAGAAAATCCCGAGAGAAGATATGACAGCCCGAGTCAGATATTTTGTTATGATTTCACTGTACTATGTTGTAATCAAATGTAACAAAAATGGTATTTTGACTTTGTGATGGATAGCATAATTAGGCTAGCTTGTACTGATTACACTCCTGAAAGGACAAGCAATGTCAAATATGCAAAGGACACTAACTGAAAAGTTACAGTAAATTTCCTAGTTGCCTTCAAATAATGTCCCAGTAAGAAATTCCTCAGGTAGATGAACTATTTTAATGTGATGATTCTATATATCAGGGTCTCAGAGCTATTTGTTTATTATTGTACCTTTAAGATTAAATAATACCATTTTGGGGAAGGGGAAATTATCCTACAACCTTACCATATATTTATTTTCAGAAAATACCTTAGTATGATGAAGACACAACTATTGCAAAAATAAAAATAATGTATGCAAGGTACACTGATATCTGTCAGTTAAACAGATGTCACTGTATAAGCTAGTCTAAGCACTCTCCTCTTTTCTCATTGGAGAACAGATTTTCATGTGTGGATTTATCTGGAAACATCTGTTTGATAATATCTCTATGTTACTACAGCCTTACTCGTGATTTCATTTTGTTGATGGATCTTTTCTGGCTAATATTTTAAATCTTAAATCTAGAATGCACAATTAAATAGCACACATCATTTCTGAATTAAATTACATTTCTATACTAGAAGACAGTCTATTTGTGAGTATGCCTCAAAGTGCCAAAACAAATAATCCTATTATAATATATTGTATTAATTGTATTGTGTTTATTAAAATAAATTCTTGTACTGTTAATGAAAAAAGAACAGACTCAAAGATCACTGTATTAGAATTTAAAAAAAGATAAATTACTGCCCCACAATTTATAAACTAGAACACAGAGTAATCCATTGTTTTCAGAAAAAAAAAAGAATTTATCTGTGGATTATATTACATCAACCGAGTATATTCTAATGATGTCAATATAGGTTTGGTGTATATATCTGCCAATGTGGTTAATCAGGAAATTCCCATTCATCATAATGAGACTGTATTCCCATTGCAATATTTTGTATAAGTTATTTTCATGAATTTTCAATAGGATCCTCTAATCCTTTTGTTGTCATTGTTGTCACTGTCACCATTGTGCAGTGATGCTTTGGTTAACATTTTCAGAAATTCCTAAACATGGAACTATTAGTGAAACCTTAATTCCTCTGTGTGCAGTGATTCCACTTTTTATTACCTTTATGCTTATTATTTCTCCAAGTCATATTTTACAGCTATGATTTAGCTGATCCAATAAATAGTAGGCATATTAAAACTTCCTAATTACAAGTAGCTCAGAGTGGCATGCCCTGTCAACAGCCTTGAAATAAAGGGTTATAAAACAAACAAGAAGAAAGGTTGTAGCCTTGTTGTCAATACTTTATAAAGTCTATATTATATACGTGTACATATTTAAAAAAGACTAGCCTAAATGCATAATAATAAAAAAGGAGAATTCAGTCACTAGAGTTAGGAGATCAGTAATGTCAAGGGTCTAATGTAATCCCACAAAAATAAAGAGGAAAGTGGAAAGAACAGGTTTGTTTTATTTCTGTATTGAATAATTATCCCAAGTTGTAACAATTCAGAAAAACCAGGATATTTCCTAAAGCTACAAAACAAAGATTTAAAGAATTTACATTAAATATTACTGTGCACTTATGGAAACTTCTGCTAAAGAATATGAAGGATGAAGACAAGTCTACACATACTTCACAAGACGTGTCTAATGAGCCTTATCCACTGAGGTCAACAGGAAATCTTTTAAATTGATGTCAGTGGGTATTGAGATGTAGTCCATGTAACTGTAGATTACAGATAAGTCTAGACACAGAGGCTAAGTACAGACAATAAAAAAGCCCAAGGTGGAATTGACCCAGTCTTCACAGGTTTCTCTAAGTTGCATAGATTGAACCAATAATGAAGTGAACTCACATTCAGTTTTCGGTTGGGAAAAGCAGGTAGGTGCCTGCATTGACCCAGGCCAGAAGGCAGAGGGCACTTGAACATACCTCCCAGCCTGCTGGCCATTGCCAAGCCCAGCTGAGCAGGGCCACCTGCAGTTGGCTGTCTGGCACACACCCCTAAACCCTTGCTGTTCTGCCACAGGGAGGGGAAGGAGCTCCCTGTCCTGATGCTGAACTGGGGTCTGTCCATGTGAGGGGCACTCTATGCCTCCAGGGGTTTCTCCCAAGCTGGAGTCTGGCCAGCTGCAGGGAGCCCTGCACCAAAGCTGCTTCCCTTGCCCATGCAATCGGCTGGCTAGTGACTCACAGGGGTAGGGGAGAACGAACCCTGTCTTGGTGCCGAGTTGGGGTCTGAACCCTCCCCTGGTGGCCTGGATCAGGTCCACTTCCCCCGACTTCTTCCTCGGCACCCCAGATACCTGATCACTTTCTCCTTGCCTCCTGATTACCTGTGGTTGCCTGCACTGTCTGTCCCAGGGAGCAGGCAAGAAAGGGTTAAACTCTCAGCCTAGCCCCAGCTGCTGCAGCAGCTGCTGCTATTTTGACCAGAAGAGCAGACCCTAGCAGTTTAACCCCTCCTTGCCTGCTCCCTGAGACAGACAGCACAGGCAGCCACAGGTAATCAGGGGGCAGGGGGAAAGTGAGTGAGGACCTGGGGTGCTGGGGAAGGGGGTGCTGGGCCCACTCTGGGCTTGCAGGGGAGGAGGCAGACCCTGATTTGGCACTGCAGTGGGGGCTCCTTCACTCCCACCCTGCAGATCAGAGACTGGCAAGGCGTGGGGCTCAGCAGCCTGCCTGGTCACGTGGGGGGTGGGAGGAGGAATCCACCTCACCACCTCCCCCTGCAGCTGGGAGGACCAAGGCTCAAGGGACCCCAGGTCAGGGCAGGGGAAACCCCTGGAGAAGTGAGGGTGATGCCCAGCTCTGTATACCAGCCCTGGGATGGGGGACTTCTCCCCTCTCTTTCCCCCTGTATGTCAGTGACTCATTCTGGCACAGCCTGGCAAGTAGAGGGGGCAATCCTTGCAGACAAGGGCTTAGGGGCAGGGGCTGGGGCAGGGAGGCTCTTTTTCCCCACCTTCCCCGCTACCACCTCACTGAGTTAATGGGTTCAGTAGGCAGGACACAGGGCTGTCGAACAGAGGTTTTGCTGCCTCAGCTCTGTGATAGCCCAGGGGCAGGGGCCAGCCCTGCTTAGCTAGAGCAGACAGCCCAGGACAGGATTAGTCAGGAGGGGATCTGGGACAGAAGTTTGATAGACCTGTCTAACCTAAACTGATTCAGTCTGATACTACCTCCATCCAGATCCATCTTAAACTATCACTTTAAGACTTAAACTTATACCAGTTTATGTGTAATTTCTCTTTCTAGCCAGAGAGTTTAATTTCCCTGGCTAGAGACTTGTGATAGGTCTCTGGCCATATAACAATATCTGATCTTAGAGAGAAAATATTCCCATTCTCTGTTCCATCTATTTGGATACACTCACTTGAATGCTGATAGCAACAATAAACTTTAAAAACCCCCAAATGTTTTACTTTTTATCCTATGTATAGACAGACACTAACATGGCTACATACCTCTCTTCAGTATAGAGAAGTTAGGGTACCCAGTGTTCTTACACTGCTGATGTTTTATGCTAAGCCTTGGTTATGGAGCATTATTAGATGTGATGGCACAGACATTTGACGAACTGTTTTTATTGAGGCTTCAAATTGTGAATTGCTTCAAGAGCAGCTGTGGACCTTAGAGAAACAGGTCTTTAGAACTAAAATTTTAAGGACTGTACACCCTTAAAATTTATAGCAGATCTAAAGAACTGGTTTTGGCTCATCTCTTTTCTATGCTGCTAGGACACACACAGCTATCAAGTAATGGTGTGCATAATCCCTTGGATATATTTTTCTTCTTTGTTAACAGTTTTCCTTACACTATCTTCTGTGTTAGATTACCATTCATTTTCTTTGAGTCCATTAAGCTTTCACATACCGAGAATTGCCAGTACCGTGCTGTCTTTGAGTACTTCCATGGAACCTGAGCACACAAAATAGATAGCTTGCAAGGCATCTCCCTGCCGGAGGAGGTACTCCCCAGGAGCACAAAAGGAGGTTTTGATATGCAGAGACAGAGACCTGAGGCAACCGCGGCTGGCACACTCAAAAAGGGACAGTTGCAAAATCTCCTTGTTCAAGTGCATGGTGATGTCTGAGCGTAGCTCGTCTGGGAAGTCTTTTAAAAGCTGGCCAAAAAGGGAAAACAAAATCCAATGTTAACTGAAAAATAATTGTTTAAGCTATGATTTTCTCTTTCTCATTACATTTTATTTGTTGAAGTAAAACATACATATATATATGTATAACAATAAGATAAATATACAGTATATAGTATTATTTATATAATCTATATATATTATAGAAAGCCAAAATTTGTACTTAGTCCTTATTGACTCTTTACATAAGAAAATTCTTATAGATCTTGGGGATACATTACAACATTTAAATAAATGATTTTATTGCAATTTTTAAAATAGTCCTCTTTATAGTATTGCAACCCCTCTCATAATTCTTGCAAGTGACAGAATAGACTGTTTTGTATATCATGCATATAGAAGCAGAAAGTTGTGAATTATTAAAACGTGAAACAATGAAAAAGGATCTTCCTCTTTTTTACATTTAATTTAAATTGTTTTGGATTTTTAATCATCCATCTTCACCTAGAATATGCAAAGTGCCCTCTGTAGTGTACCATTGGTTTTTGAAGGGAAACTGAATGAGGTGCATGCCCTGCAGAAGGCAAAGTTTAGAGATGAATACAAAGAGAGTGATCTCCTAGTTTTTCCTTGGTCCTAATTAAGACATACTCCTACTATAGTTGTTGAGACTACTTCTGATCTCACTTATATTAGACTGAAGGCGGATCTGTTGCAGCAGGGCAAAATTACCACTAATTAGTACCTGCTTCTGCTCATGGATAATCTATTATACAGGGATAGTTTTAAAATGGGTAGATTTGTTATTCTTCGTTCTTCCATCAAGTCAACACAGAAAATTTTGGCGGCAATTCTGGAAAGCACGTAAGTGATTTCAGGCAACAAGCATGAACGTACTGAGCAGATTTTCAAAGACATAACAGGCATCTGGGAATATACTCTCCACTGAAATGCCAGTGGGATCTGGACATTTACTAGGCTTTTGGGGGCCTTGAAAGTCTCCCATTATGCTTCCATATCACTTAGGCACTACTGAAAACAAAACCCTTTCTGCTGTGTCATACACCAGAAATGAACCTCCTAAAGATCCTCAAAGAGAAGCCTCATTTATTTCTATGGTATCCACATCTATTTCTATATTATCTTCATTGAGTACTGTGTTTAAGGGAATGTGCTATAATGATAAAGCAGTATCTAATGGGAAACAAACTTGCCCAAATAAGCTTATCCAAACAAGTAACCTAGCTGCCAGAAGTTGTTATTTTTCCTGGGGTATAATAATATATAAAGAACAAATAAAGACATCTCCAGAACACTCTCCTATTTACATTCATGATACTCAGAAAGTAATTAATACCCAAAGAAATATGAGAGGTAGCATTTTACACAGCGGCCAAAAGATCCCTTACTGCTTTAAAAGTCCATGCAGCATCACTCAGTGAAATGCAGTCACCTATACATACTGGGTTGCAAACTCAAAGAAGGGGAGAGAGGAAGGAAGATAATTTTGGTCAACAACAGCGAGGAAATATCAGTTCTCATGAAAAGCACTGTGGGACCTTTAAGAAGAGTCAGCCTTAGGGAAAATGGTGCCCTGGGTGAACATATATTTTGGCACACCCCACCTCCCTGACCCTCAGCACAGGGGTCACTTCCCTCCTTTGTGGGATGCCTGCCTCTGCAGGTCCTGGACTCATGTGGGAACTTCCCTCCTTGCCCTGGAGCTGCATGTGGCAGCGTGGCACATTTCCCCGGCAGCCATGCCTGCTGCACTCCCTGGTGGAGAGGATCTCCCGAGGCCACTGGGGCAGCTTGGCAGCACCCACAGGACAGAGCACCCACCTGCAGAGCACTGCCCCGCACCATAACACTGCTCATTGGCAGTCTGAGTCTGGACCTGCATCCCCACAGACCTGGCCCTGCTCCTGCCCCTGTAGCTGTGCCCAGGGGGACAGGTAGACAGTGTCCAGTACTGCACTGCTCCACTGCCCATGGCTCCTGGCTCCACCCAGCTGGATGCTGCCATTCTGTGCCAGGCTCCCCCCAAACCAGTAGCACCTGTGTGGCTGTGGAGCTCTGTGGGCAGCAGGAAAGTGTCAGCTCCATGTGTGTGGCACAGAGGCAGTGGCATCATGGGAAGCCACTGTCCCCTTCTCCTCCCCTCCCCTCAGCAGCTGGCAGGAGGGAGGGAGAGAGCACATGAGGATGTGCCCAGAAGAGCCGTGCCAGGGAGGGAGAGGGGCCATAGGATGATTTGTGCTGGGAGAGCCCTCAGTGCTCCTGGCTCTGGTTTCCCCCGCTCTGTGAGATAGTCACCCTAGTGCTGCCGATGGGTGGACAGGGAGGGAGGGGGCTGGCAGCATATGGGTGGGGGGCATTGTAGTGGAAAACTCCTCCCTTTCCTCCATTCCATGTCAAAAGCAACTCTGTGGGCTCACACACTGCACTCCCTGGGCAGCTGCCAGTGTTGCTAGATGTCATGTCCAGGGAGCCCTGAGCTGCATGTGCATGCATTGCGCCTCACTGGGCATTTACCCACGTGGCCCACTTCTAAGGCTGGCTCTACCTTTACTATCCAATGCAGGGCAAACATCTCTGCTTTTATGGTATCATCCAAAACACCCTTCAAGAATAATTCATTAGTTTTTTTTTTAATGATAAAAATCTGAACTGGCCCTGCTGATATTTGAATTGATAGTTTCAGGAAACCTAGCTTTCCAAAACAGATACTTCAATGACTAACTTAACAATCCCTCTGGACTAACACTTTCAGCTTTATTCTTTAGCTTTATTCTTTCATATGCTCATTTGTTCTAATGTGTTACTTCACATAACATTACAAAAGAAAATATACTAGCCAGAAAATATTAACACAAATCTAAGAATCCAACTAGGGAAAAGGCTTTGATTACCTCACTGGAATCTATCCCGTTATTGACAGACCAGGTGGTTTGGAAATATTCAAGCATCCTCTGTTTTAGCTGCTGTGGCAGGTGATGGACCCGTATAAAGTCCTTCAGATCCTTGGTTCTTGTGTGATAAAGGGACCACCTGGAATACATCCTCTGAATTATGGCAGTCACATTGCCAAACACCATGGCATGCATCAAAGCTGGGAAGGATTGAAATGATGTACAATTGGATGCAAGATTTTTCAGATACTGTTAAAATACAATCTAGAAAATATAAAAGCAATATTCACAGATTCTACATCTAAATACATTGACAAAAGGAATATGCACTTCTGAAATACACAGCAATACCTTATTAATGAAATATTACCATCATCACCTTCATAAATTAACGTATATTTCCATAGTGCCCAAGGACCTTACTAATGGAATGGGATTCCACTGTGCTAAATGATGAACTCCAAATTAAAAGCAAAACAAAATAGCCAGTCCCTGTCTGAAAGAGTTTACAGAACCTAAATAGATGGTAAGGCAAAATTAGTACATAATATGGTGAAGCACAAGGAAACAATCAGAATAGCTGTCAGTATGATAGGAAGTCATCATATGGCCAGGTTGATAGCATGCTAAACAAACTGGAGAGAAAAGAAGAATTACATTTATGTATTTTTGTACAAAAATATAAAATTAGGAGTTGTACGCAAGTATATTTGACTGCAAGCTAAATGCAGGGGTCCTTTGAATTCTGGAAAATCAGAAATTAAAATGAAACTGAGGAGATAATTATAAAGCAGAAAATTGAGGTAATTCTGATAAATTCTATTAAATTCAGAATGAAAACCAAATTCTCCCCAGTGCTTAAGAATGAACAAATGTGCTATAAAACTGTTTATCTATATATTCTGACATACACAAGTTTACCTGCAATTAGAGACAGATTTGGGAATAAAAAGACCTGAAGGAAAACTGAAAGTATGCCTACAAATAAATCTGTCTGTCTTTAGGTGTGCACTGTGCTTTCCTGTCATCAGGAGAAAATATTAAGGTTGGATCATATGACAAGTAGCATTGATCTGGGGTATATAGCACATGTTTATAAATTGTTTATTGAAAAAACTATAAAGGACCTAATTACTTTTGTTAAAGGATATTGGCCTTTTAGCACTTGAAAGGAAGTGGAGAAAGACTCCCCAGAGTACTGATAGAGCTGGTTTTTAAACAAGGGAAACAGGGCGCTGACCTCTTATGGAAATTTCAATCGATTCAGACTGTGCAGAGACAGACAAGAATGGAAGAAAAAAAGTCATGACTCTTGGTGGTTAGTTTGTGAATATCATTAGAGACAGTCAAAAAGGGTCCCTGGTTTAGGACAGTTTAGAAAATTATTGTTAGCTAAATGCATCTAGATGAAGCTACCAGTAGCAGGATGGCTTGGAGAATTGGAATGAGAAAGAGACACAAAGTACATAGGACGGTAGAAACAATACATGGGTAAAAAACAAATAAGCAAACCAAACCTGTACTAAAAATACACTGAAGTTGCAAAATTCAAGGAGACAAAAGTTAAGAAATGCCAGAATTAAGGTTGTCGGCAAATATTTTATTCTATACATTAATTATGAGAAACTTTAATAATATAATCATATAAGACTTTTTTCCATTGGAACCCTGGAGGAGAAAAGGTGCTCACTGACAACATAGTTCTGAAACAACATTTTTTATCCTCAAAATTCAATGGTTGGCCCCATGAATTTTTTACCACATATGACTAAACCTTTCTCTGAGTAGTGAATTATTAATTTTCTTCTGATTTTTTGGTGGTGTTCATCACTATAGTATCCAAATATTTCACAAGTCTGAGTGAGTTTACTTTTACAACTTCTGAGTCAGGTGAGCAAGTGGTATTGTCCAGATTGACAGATGGGGAGCCGAGGCACAAAGATTAAGGCCATTTTGAATGCCCAATTTGACATGTAGTCAGTTGGTTTCTAGAATAATTTTCCTCATCAATGTCCTTGAGATGAGTGAGATTTTAAGCTTTTAAGGATCTGGAATTTCAAACAGTGACCTTGATTCTAATAGATATTCAGGGCTCTGCTTTCTACTTTAAAGAACAGCATTACACCTCTCATGCTGACAAGTCTTGAAGCTATAGGACTATTCAATATTTCCTAAGGGCCTTGTTATATCTTACACTGTGAGCCACACAAATGGTGATCAGTGTTAGTGCTAGCTCGAATCTGGAGCAGTCACACTTCAGGCCAGCAGGGGCCTAGAGGACTGAAAGGTCCCCAATTCCCCCTAATTCTGGGTTTCCCTGCTGCCCAGATCCCTGCTCACTGCCCCCTACCCCACTTCTACCTACTTGTACCTGCCTGACTGTCTGCCCAGGGAACCCAGAGAACAGCACTGGTGGTGGCCCTAGCAGGTAGGATGACCTTTCCCTGCCTGCTCCCCTCTGGGACAGACAATGCGGACAGCCACAAGTACGTGGGGAGAAGGGGGGCCAGTGAGCATAGATCCAGGGTGCTAGGAAGGCTGCAGAGGGGTGGGGGGGGTGGGGGTCAGGCCATGGGCAGTGGGCCCAGTCCTGGCCAGTAGGGGGAGAGGGGGTGGGATGTTCACACTAAAGTGTGGCCTAGCTCCCCCTGCCTGAGGAAGGGTGTTTGTACCCCAAAACTTGTAACGAATAATTTTTCAAACTATTTTAGTTGGTCTAATAAAAGATATCAGATTTACCCAAAGAACCTTGTTTTTTAATTTCCAATACACTTCTACTGTGTCCAAATTGAAATCTTGATGAAATTTACCAGCCTGATCAACCCCAATTCACAGGGGATCTATTATACAACTGCGGAAAAAATATATCTCAAAATTAAAACAGAGTTTTGCTGCTTGAATCAATTAGCTGCTTAACTTAGTATTATGTTATAAGGCTTAATAACCTGGTTGGTGGCTTGCCTCTTTTCTCTGCTGCACTGTGCATTATACAAATGACTTCAGTAGATAATAAGCTGCAGTGAGAATTAGGTCTGAGGACACTTTTTGTGACTAACTAATACATTCTAATTAGTGCAATCCCTGCTGCTTAGACCATACCATATTGATATCTGAAATGGAAAGAAATATTATTGATCAAATGTATATGTAATGAAGTACAATGTAGAGTCCCTTGATTTCTACCAAGCTACCAGGTTTTTGGAAGCTCTACAGCTCCAGAAGAATCAAACTCCAATGCTCCATTGCCACAATGTTCTATAGACCAGGAGAACCATTTAAAAGTTAAATACTTAATATTTCCATCATAATCACATTAACATTATAATTACATGATTTTTAAGCAATTAATTACAATTAATGATTGTATTTAAAGTAGCATTACTGATGGTGCTTGAATTAATAAGATGTAATTCCTTGACTTACTAGGGTTACAGCTGTGTTTTCAGGCCAGGGAAAAAACCTGACAATTCACCAGACCTCTCTCTCTGTCTCTCTCTCTCTTTTTTTATTTTGATAACCTCAGGATGCTGTGAGCTCACAGCTTACAGGGAATTCAACATGTACCCCAGTCTCTGGGTGTCAAGTTGTCAATTTTATAAGTTTATAGTGCAGAACTGACAATCAGAGTAATGCAGACTAGGCCTGGAGCAAAGTTAGATGGTGAAAATACTTACCACTAAATCCAGGATGATTAGATAGCCAGAGAAACAATGAGGAGCACAGAGCTCTAGTTATGACTTACTTGTCTCCCCTTCTCACCTGCAGAGTGCCGTCTTGGAGTTATATGAAATATGTATTATGATTTAATGTCAGCATTTTTAGTGGGAAGAATGGAGAGGAAAGTAAATGTATGAAAAGCTGCAAAACAATCTCTCCAATAGCACCACTTATACTAGACCAGGTGTATTACACCCTGAAGGTGAAGCATTATCTTTGTATGATGTATTAATTTCTTTGTCCCCCAAATAGTAATAATGAGCATTTTTCTTAAATCAATAATAAAACATTACCAGGAAAAATAAATAAGAATAAAAACAAGGACCAACAGGCAAAACCACCTCTGATGTTGGTACTACTTTGAAACAGTAGCTGGGTAAAAAAAAACAACAAAAAACCCACAAAACTACTTTCCCACTTGCAGTGAAAAACAGATCTTAAGACAACTGTTAGTTGATTTACTATAAAACAAAAGAGTTGACATGGGATTTCTTCAGTTCACTATTTTGCTAACATACAACATAACTATACAATCTTAGAAATCTCATTTTTTTGTCCAAACGCTTGCATTTTAGGATTAGTGTTTTACTTTAGTTTTCAATTGTTGTTTAAAATGATCTTTAGACCTTGTTCTCAAACCCTCTATCAACTTATTGTATAACATCTATACTTACCCCCAATCAGCATTGTGCAAATGGAAAATATCTTTTCTACATCAGTATTGGCTGAAACATTTCCAAACCCAACACTGGTGAGGCTGCTGAGAGTGAAATACAGGGCAGCTATATAGGCACTTCTGATTGATGGGCCTCCCAATGTATTATTGCCATAGTAAGGAGACTCTAAACGCTTCCCCAGTTCATGAAGCCAACCTGAAAAACAAAGCAAAAGAAAAATCCCATTGAGAAGCACCATAATGATGGTAACCACATACACTGTAAAATAGCCAAGACTGATGATGTTATATTCCATACACAATTAGAAGAATATAAACAACAGAGGTAGACAAACTGGAGAGAACCCAGAGTAAAGCAACAAGAACAATAAGAGGTTCAGAAACCTTGACTTGCAAGACAAGATTGAAGGAATTAGGTTTGTTCAGTCTAGAAAGGAGAAGATGTGGGATGGGACTAAGTGGTTTTCTGGTGTCCCTTCTAGCCCTACATTTCTATCAAAATGGAAATTAAACTGAAAATACTAATGGAGTAGTTGGAAAACTATGCCCTTGGAGGATTTAATCTTATTCATATATGCTTATAGTGAAAGCTGGATTTCTGAACTGATATCAAGTGTTTATGAGTTCCATTCCAGAAGTCTATATTGGACAATTCACACAATTCAATTAGGCAGAAAAAAAATAAAAGAGGAAGAAACCTCAAACAACTGTATAACATGGATATAACTTACATTGCATTCTATATATGAATCCTCCACTGCATACTTATTTAGCTACAGTTTGTAAAAACAATTCATATTCTGAGAGGCAAAGCATTACTCATATATTTCTTCTTCAAAGAAGAAATATACATATATATTTCTTCAAAGAAGATATAGACTCAGAGATCCAAACACATCATAGAAACCTGAATCCAGCAATTCTTTTTTCTAATTTTCATTTTTCTGACACACACACATAATTGAGAAACAGCTAAATAATTCTTGGTCTAGCAAAGTAACACAAAGAATATGCATAAACGACTCATGAGCAATGAATAGGAAAATGTAGAAAGTAAGAGCAGAGATAAATATTTTAATGCCAGGTACTAACCTTTTGGTATATTTACTTATGGTTATGTGGGAAATCTTGTTGATGATGCAGGCAGAAAAAAAAGTAGCGCAATTTACATGAAATGCCATCTTTTGTTTCAAATGATCAGTGTGGAGTTTCCCGTTTTGGGCTGTATTGTATCTCCAGGAAGCTCAAGTAATTATATAAAATGTATGCATGTGTTGACAGGTTGAAAGACAGAAACTTTTATAAATTTGAAACATCATTCACTCCACTTACCTTCTACTCACTCCACATAAATCACAAAACTAAAAACTGGAGAAATTCCCTTTAAATAGAATATTTACACAAACAGGGCAACAAACACTAAACATCAACTCCGATGCTTGTGATGAGATAGTCTCAATATTTCGTTCACCTGGGAGTCATACTGCTATTACTATAACTATTACTATTATTCCAGCCACAATTGCCTTCTCTGTACTTCCCCGTGCTACTCTTGAGTTGTGATGTTACCTACTCCAAAGGGAGTGAGAAAAAGGTAGGAGCAAAAGCTGTGGTCCTGCCTCCTAGTCCACATTGCTTAGAAACACAAATCAGATGGAAAGGTGATAGCTTGCTATACTTTCTTAGAGTGGCAGTGCAGAGTGAATTGGCTTTCCTTGACAAGAAAAAGTACCATAACATTTGTATAATTGACTCAAGACTAATGGTTGGTCCCCCTGGCTCTCCCTATGCCAATGGAGTATTAGTGTGGTTTGAGGGTGATCATAGAAGGTAAGTCCCCTCCCTATAAATTGATATTTTCAAGAACTATAAGCATTAAGCAGAGTACAAAGAGAAAACAATAGACAATAATTTTATTAATTCCAATATTTCAACTATGAGATATGGTGTTTGCTCTTAAAATGTCAACACACAGGGGGCATATGAGTTCCTGCACAGGGGGTATATGAGATTTCAGTTATATCCCAGTCTAAGAAACAGCAAATGCTGATGTCTCCTAGAGACATCTGCATAGTCAAAGGTCAGTGTTGATTTTCCAAAGGTAATGACTTCAAGTGTATGTAAAAACAGCAGGCAATATCAACAGGGCTAGGATTGCAGAAACATATCAGAAAAATATTTAAAAATATCTTCTCTCAAAAATAATGATACTTTACACCCACTCACCCTGTTCCTTGCTGAATTTTCTGTAGTCTTTTTTGTTCCTATTCATTCAGATAAAACAGGAAATTCCCAATGTTCAGGCTTTTCTCCCATGGTCAGGATCACAGAAGAGAAATGTCAGATTAAAGTTTGAAACCTGTGAAGTGCAACTGCCTCCCTGCTACTGAATGACCTTTGTTCCTAAATACTTCCATGGAAATTAAGGATCTGCAACATCTTTAAGACTGCACTCAGGATTTGCAGACATAGTCTGACAGAGCAGTTTTTGTCTGGGTCTAGAATTGACTTGGGTTTGTTAACAGGAATCGTAATCCAAGTTTTCTCAGTGGAAATGTAACAATGCAGTACCAGCCTGGTAGAAAGTAATTTATGAAACAGATCTAGCTGAGATTCAGTAAATTAAGAGGAGAACAGTTGCTGTTACAGAATGATCTGGTTCACCTAATTAAATGCTCACAGTCCCACAAAAATTTTTCAGAACAAATTCAAGGTTATAAGTCTAGACATCAAATGCAAAGGTAACAACTATGTTCCCAAAGGATGAGAAATCCTGCCTTTGAAAACAGTAACTTAGAGAAAGGATTTAGGGCTCCGAACAGATAATTGCCTCAACATGAGTACTCAATGAAATGCTGTGGCAAAAAGTACCAATGTTGAGAGGAGAATATCAACTAGAAGTAGAGAGGCAATCATTTTTCTACATGCAGTACTGGTACAATTGCTACTGTGTCTAGTTGTGGTGTCACCACTTCAAGAGGAATGTGGAAATACTGGGGAGTGCTCAAAGAGCCACAAAAATGGGAGAGGGGGAGAGGGAGGCTAATAAACAAAACCTTAAGGGCCTCATCTTATTTAGTTTATAAAAAACCCAGCAAATGACTCACCACATCACCCCATAGAGTTAGTTACACATAACTAAGAGATTTGATGGTTAGGAGCTTTTCAGTTTAGCTGACAATGGCATAACAAGATTAAATAGTAGAAACTGAAGTTTGACAAATCCAACACTGAAGTAACACACAATTTCCTTGGCTGTGAGAATATAATTAAACAGGAGGATGTGGTTGACTCATAGTCTCTTAGAGGCTTTGAAATTAAATTAGACCTCTTTGTAAAAGACATGCTTTAATCCAGGATCAGAGAGAAATTAGGACTTTATGCACAGGGTTGTGTGGCCTGAGAATCTCTCCTGGCCGTAGAATCTGTTAATTTAGGAGTTTCCCTATAGACGTCCCCTTTGTTCCTAGGATGTAACGATACGACTGCCTTCACTATTGCCTGGAGAAGTTGAGGAGGATTCCTCCTTCCTTCAATACATAAGTGGTGAGGTGTATTCTTTTTTTTTTTTTTATCACCTTCCTTTGAAGCATCAGAAATTGGCTGCAGCAGCAGACAGGAAACTGAATGTGATAGACTGGTGCTCTGAGGTGGTACATGTCCTTTATCTCAGATGCTATCTGATGCTTATGGCTTACAGGTGAGGAAGGAATTTTTCTTCAGGTCAAATTGGTAGGGATCTGGGGACTTTCTTCTTCTGCAATATAACTTATTGCATTTGGGCATATCAAACTTGATCAATTCCCTGCCACTGCAACAGCATTTGGCACTGGTGGCACTTCATTCTTTCCTACTTTCTAGCTCTGGTATGCAACAGTTTAATCATCTGAGGACAGAAATGCTTTTGCCTAACTAAAATCACTGGGCTCAATACAGGGATATCTGGGTGAAAGTCAATGGTCAGTGACAAACCAAAGGTCAGAATAGATGATCTGACTGTCCCGTCTCACCTTAAAATCTATGAATTCTATAAAATCTGTGCATCTGGGCATGATATTTGATTGTACCCAGGAAAGATAGGAGAACTTGGTATTCTCTTGTAGGG